TTTTTTGCCTCTTTGCAGTCGTTTTTGTCTCTTGGTGGTAATTTTATGTGTCTTTGTGCTTGTTCTGTGTCTCTTTGCAGTAATTTTAGGTCTGTTGTTGTTGTCAGTCTCTTGTTGCTATTTTATGTCTTTTTTTCCAGTCGTTTTTTTTTTTGTCTAGGTGTTTTTTTTGCATCTCTTCGCATTCATTTGTGTGTTTGTGCAGTTGTTTTTGTCTCTTTGGGGTTGTTTTTGTCTCTTTGTGGTAACTCTGCATCTGCTTGTGGTCAACTTATTTCTCTTTGTGCTCATTTTGTGTGTCTTTGCAGGAATTTTAAGTCGTTCTTGTTCTGTTCAGTCTCTTTGCGGTAATTTTGCATCTCTGTCGTTTTCAGTCTCTTGTTGTTTTGTGTCTTTTTGTAGTCATTTTAAGTCTCTGTGTGTTTGTTTTGCATCTGTTTCTGGTCTTTTTGTGTCTCTTTGCTGTAATTTTGTGTAGCTGTGCAGTTATTTTGCATCTCTTCGCAGTGATTTGTGTCTTTATGCATTTGTCTTTTTCTCTTGGTGGTCATTTTGTGTGTCTTTGTGGTTGCTTTGTGTCTCCTTGCAGTCATTTTTTTTTGTTGGTTTTTGGTAGTTTTGTGTCTCTTTGCATAAATCCTGAGTTTTTTAGTCTCCTAGTCGTTGATACGTGTCTGTTTGTGGTAACTTTCCATCTGTTTGGGGTCAATTAGTGTCTCTTTGCAGTCATTTGGAGTTTTTTTTAGTCTCGTGGTTCTTTTGCGTCTTTTTCTGGACGTTCTGCGTCTCTGAGCAGTTGTTTTGTGTGTCCTTGCATTTGTTTTGTGTCTCTTTGTAGTCGTTCTGATTTGTGTCTTTTCTTTCAGTCAGACTAAAAATCTGTTCTTCTAAAAAGCTGAAGCACTTTTTTGCCCTGATACACACCGTTTGGTTTCCTTTTTCCTGAATCTCTACGATGGAGGTGGAGATACAAAGTCAGCATAGAGACACGACAAACATATTACTGGGAAATCTGTCAAAATATAAAATGTAAAACCTCTTACACTCCTGTTTGCCACACTTCTTGTCTGTTTCATATGTTGCATGTTTCACCAGGTGAACTGAAGAAGCTCCACACAGAAGGCATCACTTCAGTATTTTAACTAGACACACCGGCCTCTGCTGACCTTCGTCTGTTTGCTTTCTCGGCTCCGTTACGGCTGTTGTTACAGATGTCGGACGGCAGCGTTGGCAGCAGTTCCTTCTGTCAGCTGTCGGACTAAACGTTAGTTCAGCAGCACCAACAGACGAGTCGGTTCGGTTTGAAACAGGCATTAATTGATGCACATGATGAGGCTGCCCACCAACATCGTGGAGGGAGAGCTTCCCTTTCGTAACCACAAACTGCTTCCCGTAAACACAACGTAAGCGTGCAGCTTCTTTCTCTGGAAGAGAAGCTAAAAACATCTCTGTGGCTTTTCTCTTCCTCACATCAGCTGGAAATAACCGACAAGTCGTGTGTAAAACTCTTGAATTTATACATAAAACTGAGACTCCGAGGACAGTCTTAAGCCGAGGGAAGGAAGGGGGTGTTGTTGCACCCATGAAGATCCTTTAACACACTTTAGTGCCATCAATCGTCTTCGATCTCAGAGACATCGCTCAGTTGAATCTGAATTCACGCACATGAAACAGACGTGTATCCTCGGCCTGATTAACGCTGTTCAAGAATATCATTATCTCTGATGTCCATCCAGAAAAAACCTCCAGAAATCTACGCAAAAGAAGAAGGAGCTGTCTGAGAATCTGCTTCCTTCAGAGGTTGTCTGAACATCCACGACACACTGCAAACAGCTCACAGCCAATTCTGCTGCTTCAATGAGTTAACTTCAACAAATAAAGACTGATAACTGTTGAAAGTCTGAGTACGGAAAGCAGAAAACCTTCACAGATAAACGGTTGAGCAGGAAGATAGTTCGAAACCACATCCAGGCTGCGACCAAACCGCACTCAACTTGTCCGCCGGCTGAAATCCGACGCTGATCTACAAATTGAAAGCTCGAACACAGATATCTCCAGCGGGGCTGCTGTTAACCCTCTGATCCCAGCTTAGGTTTCCTTTTCATCCGCTGCGACGGCGACACCACAGAAGAAGACAGACGGCGAGGTAAAGAGCAGCAGCAGCCTCGGTGAAAGGTCTGAGGATTAAGACGAGCAGCTGTGAGGACAGAAATACTCAGATAATAGAATTAAAGGGGACGAAGGTCAAGTCAAAGTCGCACACCAAACATCAGCTCAGAAGGGTCAGCGGCAGTGTAACTACACTACCCATCATGCACCACGCACAGGGCTTATGAAACGTATTCACCTCCCTTGGAAACTTTCCCTTTTTTTGCTTTTCAACACTGAATCATGGTCTATGTAATGTGGCTTTTTAAAAAAGACTCTTTCATGTCAAAGTGAAAATAGATTTCTAGAAAGTAATGTGACTAATAATGAAAAATACAAAAAGTAAAATAAGTAACTGGATCAGTATTCACTGCCTTTAAAGTGACTCACCGGATTCAACACAGGTGAAGCTAAGTGAGTGAGAAAGCAAGAAAGATGCGACAGAGGCCACCGACACACCAATAAGTCCTCTGAGGAGTTACAACAAAGAGACGAATGAAGGAGGCCACAAGGACACCTACGAGTCCTCTGGAGGAGTTACAGTGTTCAGTGCTGAGATGGGAGAACCTGAGCAGACAGCAACTGCTGCTTGTTCTTCACTAAAGCTTTATGGTTTTCTGCTCCTCTGCTGATTATGACGTCAGAGAGTCACGTCACGCTACGACGCTCTCCTCCGTTTACTGACTGATGGATTACGATTTAACAGTTTGTCTGCTGCAGTGACGCCTGCTGTTCTCTGTTCTGTCAGTCTCTTACTGTTCTTTTATAGCCCATTACAAGTCATA